CGTCCTCTTCATCGTCCACCACCTTCCCGACCCTGCTATAGCCGCCGCGCCCGCTGGAAGAGCGGCCGTTTCCCCCGTAGCCCTGCTCCTCGTCGTTGTCGTCCTCGTCGTCGTAATCGTCGTAGTCGTCGTCGCCGTGCGTCGCACGCCTGGGAACGCGCACCAGACGTTTCCGCTCGTCCTCCCACATCCGGCGATCGTTCGCGGATACTTTTCCTCCGCCGCCGCCGCCGCCGCCGCCGCCGCTGACGTGGAGTGGGTTGGATCGAGCTGCTGCTCGGAAAGGCGGTTTGACCTTTCCCCGCGGAATTTGCACGTTCCACTTGTCCTTCATTGCACGAGATCAGCAACTGACAGCTGATTCGCTAAAAATGCTTCTCCTAGGGTCGCAAATACGGATTCAAACGAGGTTCAGAGTAAGAATCGTGTGTAGTATGTTTGACGTAGTCGGTTCGAAGGTTTCGCGAAACAATGCACAGCCGTGAATTACAGCCGTACGACAGGATCTGCGGGTTGTTTATTTAAATGGCTCAGACACTTGAGTGCTCCTGTGTTCGAAAGGAAACTATCGACGCTGGGAGGTAAGGGCAGTGACGGAAGGGATAGCCTGGATATGGCTTTCACTAGAGGATTTGACGACGGACCGTCCACATCAGAGAGTCGAGCTGAATTGGGTTGGTGCATGGGCTGTTAGTTCAGTGGAGGCAGGATGGATGGTGAAGTCCAGGAGGAAGATTTGGAGGGTGAAACAGAAGTGGATCGAGTCGCAAATGTGTACAGTGCAACTGGATGAATGTCCAACCCAGGCGTCACGATTGGTCGAACCGCGTCGGAAAACCTTTATAAGATCCCTACCTACTGTAGCCGTCGATGATCCATGCGCTAGGCCGCGTGTCTGATCGTGTGGGGGATCGAACAGAAAAATATGGTGCAGGTTTGAACTCCACATTCATGGTTTGACACAGAAATTATATGTTGGATATATATGAATTTAGAGAGGTCCGCTAAGATTGTACAGCGGTTGAGTTGTGGAATCGAGTGCGACGATGGAGATGGCAGACGCAGGATGGGGAGTGGTGCCTCGGGCAGGCCGGGGCAAACAAATATTGGCCTACAATTGTGGGAGGGTCAGGTCGCGTGACTGACTGGTGCTGGGGCATCGAAGCCACAAGCGGTTTGGATTTTCGATTCGGCTTCGACAAATTACTGTCCAATTGGTCGCTGTTGAAGCTTCAAACGGGGCCCTTGACCCAAACCATCCAACTTTGAACGAGATACAAACGAGATACTTCTATCGCAGTCGGAGCGCCTCATCAACAAATACTGGTTGCTTGACGTGCCATTTCACTAGAGACGAACTCGATTGCGTCTCTGTCGAGGAAATCGATTCTACCTTTCATTACTGCATTCTATATCATTATACCACATGGTTTGGACTGCTTCGGCACAAAACCTTGGACGTTTTCAATTAGTCGGCTCGATCACGGAAGTGGAACTTAAAATTATTGCGCAGACTGTCCATACCACACATCAAATATCAATTGGTGTAGGCATAGCACCCAACCATGAACCATGTTAATTTTAGGGTCTGTTTCTTCAGCTTGAAAACAAAACCTTACGCATGATAATCGGCTTTTTTTTTTATCGATGCTGTATTTTCAGGGCGTTTTTCCTAGGCAATGCTTATTATCAGTGCATTTTCCTGTATGAACGCTGATCAGCCTGGTCCAAACCAAATCTAGGGGCATGCCAGTAAAGTTTCTTATTTTATAAAAAGGCCTGATCAGTCAAATCAGATCAGACCCAGTACACACCGTAGTCTGAAAACCAGACAAATCAGACATACAATACAGGTACTGTAAATACCGTATGATGCCTCTCCTTTCAACACCTCTAGCTCCCCCTTCTGCTCTTGCTTGCAGCTCACTATCAGTTTCTTCTTTTCCACCTCTGTTCTTTCTGCCGACCCTGGACATTCAGAGTTGCTCTTTTGGTGAACAGTGAGCATCTGTCTTATGAGTTGTTCTAGATCCCATCAATAAACAAAATGTAGGGATTTTTCATACCGGGCTCATGGCTTCGAAACTCCACAATGCAATTTGATATTGAATTGGATGCGAACTAGTACTAGGCTAGGATTGGTCTAAAATAGTGCTGGTGGAAGTTTTCAGAAAAAGCAAGGACCAAAGTTAGCTGGCGACACTTCCGGAAAGCGGATGTGTTGTAACGAGCCATTGCCGCATGCTCACTAAATTATCCGTTAAATGCGCGATATGCCCGATGAATGACGCATGCATTGTTCAGTATGTCGAGCGTTACATCGAAAATATATGACAAAACTAATTTGATGCAAAAGTTACAGCGTATTTAGACGCCCACTGGCTTAATTTGAGATACTTCGCTTACAAGCCAAGGCCAGAGTCATCATCGGTCTTGGGGAGCGACGAGGCATACAGATAGAAAGCACCCCAGATGGCGGTGAAGACACCGAGGAGAACCCAGGTAAGGGAAGAGTCGTTGATGCCGAAGGGGAGACCGGTACCATCCCCACCGAGAATATCCTCGACGACAGCCAGTGACGGAAGGGCAGCGGAGACCGAGGCGGCGACGGTAGCCGCAGACAGGACAGCCTTCCTCTCCTTCCTCTCAGCAGAGCAGGTCACCCTTGACATGCGGAGAGCGGGAAGTCCTGCAAGCGCATATAGGAATGAATAAGGGAAACACGAGGACAATGAGATATATAGATTTTCTAGCAATGCTGAATGAAAGATTGAGCGTCAGCAGTCACAGAAAGTGGACGGGACGATGCGTACCGACAGCACGGCCGGAAATCTGCTTCGAGGAAACAGACTTCTGCACGAAGCAGGTGGCGGCAGAAGCGCACGAGACGGCTGCGACGGTGGCCATGGCTACAAGTTGTGAGATGACCGTGTCAAACTGCGAGTGTGCTGGAGGAAGTGGAGAGAGTCGGTTGTGCTGAAAGCGGTGAATGGAGTGGTTATTGTAAAGCTGAGGCTGTGACACCGAGACCTGTGACCGAAACAGAGCGAGATTCTGAGCGACACGTTATCCGAATCCCCAAGAAACCCTATCTTCCTGGTTCCCCTCCACGCTGGCTATCCCCATTCGCTGGCTCAGAAGCGTTTTACTGGTTCCCATCATCAGCGTAATCAGCCTTGTTCCACGTCAGAATCGTCGCGAAGGTCGGAACTTGAGGTGTCGCAGACGTTGTTACATCACGATGAATGGTTGTCGACAGACAGCGTTACCGCTTTCACGATTCCATATACATGTAATGATATATTTGCATGGATATATATGAAGTTGGTTTATAGTATTTTTAGAGCTTTGATAGCAAACTTGATTACCAAAATTACCGTAGTAGTTTATAGACTCTGTACATTACCTACCTGATTTTTAATAACCAATATTGTTTATGTCCTGTTTTTTTCAGAAGGCGTGTTAAATGCATTTAATTTGCAGTCTGCATTGTAAAACGCTTGATAGGAAATCAAGCTGTACTGGCATCTTTATGTGGTGCACTTTGTTTCATCAGTGCTAGAAAAGGGTTCTTTATTGGCGTGTTATGGCGTGCTGGCGGTCAGGTTGCTACGGGCAGGCATGTCCAGATAGCACAAAATACCTGCTGAATACCTGAGAATGGGAGCTGTTCTCTTGCGGGGAACCTTGCCACACGCCAACTGCTGTGGGTTCTGCCCTCTGCAATCCAACCACCTGCACAAGCGACCCGGAATTGCCGCTAGCGAAATCGGCGGCACCCACTCCCTCGCAGCGGCAGCGTTTGTGTGTGTGTCGCACGACTTCGTCGAGCCAGTTGGCAGTTAGCGGGTTCGCACGACTTCGCGAACCCACACTCCCATCCACTTTTCCAGGTCAGAACGCTTTGTTCGTGACACAAAACTATATATTGCACTGCACCGTACCGCACAGAAACTTAGTGAACCGCCACGGATCGACATTTTCTTTACTCTCCACCTCCTTCACCCACCTCCACCATGTCAGGAGGTGTGATCTTCCAAAAAAACATCAGATGCTGGGTTTCAAAGGTGGCTGCTCATCATGCCGTTGCACAGAACACCACATACAACTCCGCTATCTTTCATACCATGTGTGTCCTGTAGAACTGCACCTCCTGGACTGGCTCCATGTCATTACCACAGATGCGATGCTACCAATTTTGTGTAAATGGAAGTCAGTGACTGGTCGGAACTGGAATGGAGCAGGTTGGGGGTTCAGGTGCGCGTTCCAGAAGCGGGGCTGCTAGTCCTAGAGCCGAGGACGACGGGGGTGACGATGCGCGTTGCACGAGTAGCAATGTCGACGGGAATAATCACAGCAACAGCGTCCGCAATAGCGGAAATGACGGAGCTGTTGCGCGGGAGGTGTCGGAGAGGAGCCAAGTCTCCTCCTCACCAGAAGAGGCCGTACCACGGACGGCAGACGCGCCGCCGGAAGCAATGTCTAACCCAATAATAGCAGCAGCAGTACCAGCCGCTGCCACTGATTATCGTAAAACTGACGCTCATGCGACGACGTCAGCTTCTGGTGGCCCTGCGGCCGCCGGCAAAAGGGCCGTAGTAGCCCCAGGGCAGCTGCAAATACCACCGAGCTTCCATTCCAATCTTAGGGTTTCTGAGGAAGGCAATGCGGGGACCGGCTATGCTGATGGTGGCGGGAAAGGGAAGACGGGTTCTTCTGGGCGTGGTAATCGAGTGCGGAGTAGGGAGTTCACTGCGGTACGGTCCGGTGAGGAAGCAGATCAAGCGGAGACGACGACGAGGCGTGCAGGAGAGCTAGACGCAAAGAGTAAGGCGAGAAACGGAGGTAGAGGCGGCGGGAAAGGTAGAAACCGAGGAGCGCGAGGGAGAGGGAGGAGCAGCAAAGGCAACCGGCCGGTTTCCGCTGCTGGGAGCAAGCAAGGGGAACGAGAGGGCTGGGTGTTAGACCTTACAGGTCTAGGCCTCGACATAGGGATTGACATGGGGAAGCGGAAAGGGCGGGCGGTGGCGGGGGTTGCTGCGGGGAGCGGGCTGATGAGGAGGGATGAGATTGTGTTTGCGCGGACGGTGGGGGGAAGGAGACGGCGCCTCCCCCCTGCTCCTGTGTGGGTAGGCAAGGAGGGTGATAAGCGGTCGGGAGGCGGTGAAGGGAGAGAGGTGGGATATTCGCAGGAGCGGCCGGTGGGGCCGACTAGCAGCGCGGAAATGTCTTCTTCTGTCTCTTCTGCTTCCGCCTCTGCCGCTGGTGGTGCCACTGCGGCTGCTAGTACTGCCAGTACTACCGCTGCTGCTGCCGCTGCTGATGGTGGTCGTGATACTAACGCTGCTGGTGGTGCTGCTGGTGCTGGTGCGGAAAGCGGGAACGGTATAGCTGGTCTAGGAGTGACGTCATTCGCTGCTCTGTCCTCCTCATCGCTCCCCTCACTCCCAATCTCCATCCCCTTACCGCCCCTGCTCGGCGGGGTGCTTCATTCTGCTGCTGCTGCTGCCGCTCCCGCTGCCGCTCCCGCTGCTGCTGCTGCAGCTTCTGCTGGTGCACTGGCAACCGCCACAGGCGCAGTTGCTTCTGAAGAGTCAGGGCTGGGGACAGAGGGAGAGGAGGGAAAGGAGGAGGCGGAGGGAGGGGAGCATCAGCGGCAGCAGCAGCAGGAAGGGAACACGGAGGAAGAAGCTGAGAGGAAAGGGAAGGGTGAGGTAGAGGTGACGGCGGAGGAGGAGGTGGAGGAAGAGGACGACGACGAAGGGAACGAGGATGAAGAGGAGGAGGAAGATGAGGAGGATGAGGAAGAAGAGGAGGAGGCGGATGAGGAGGTTGAAGAGGAGGGAGGGTATGAGGAGGAGGAGGACGCAGAGGAGGAGCACATGAGACATGTGGGGTCACACGAGGAGGAGATGGGCAGCCACGAGGGAGCAGCCAGCGACAGCATGTACGAGTTCATGGAGGGCGAGGGCGAGGGGGAGGGGGAGGCGGATGGAGAGGGAGATGTGGTGGTGGAGAGGGAGGGGGGTGCAGCGGAGGGGGACATGGAGCCGTTGCTCAAGTACGAGCGGATGGAGGGGGACGTGAGCGAGGTGCTCAAGACGGCCATCCCCACGTGCGTGGCGCTCTCTGCGCATGGCTTGATTGCGCTGGGCACCACGGAGGGCACTCTGCATGTCGTCGACCACCATGGCCGACAGGTCAGTTCAGCCGCCTCGCCCTGCTCTCCCTGCTCGCCCTGCTCTCCCTGCTCGCCCTGCTCTCCCTGCTCTCCCTGCTCTCCCTGCTCGCCCTGCTCTCCCTGCTCGCCCTGCTCTCCCTGCTCTCCCTGCTCTCCCTGCTCGCCCTGCTCTCCCTGCTCGCCCTGCTCTCCCTGCTCGCCCTGCTCTCCCTGCTCGCCCTGCTCTCCCTGCTCTCCCTGCTCGCCCTGCTCTCCCTGCTCTCCCTGCTCTCCCTGCTCGCCCTGCTCTCCCTGCTCGCCCTGCTCTCCCTGCTCGCCCTGCTCTCCCTGCTCTCCCTGCTCGCCCTGCTCTCCCTGCTCTCCCTGCTCTCCCTGCTCTCCCTGCTCTCCCTGCTCTCCCTGCTCTCTCTGCTTTCCTGCTCTCCCTGCTCTCTCTCAATGTGCCCTTCTTCCCCGCCTCTCCCAGCATAGCCTTTGCCTTCCGTCACTTTCCCTTCCCCTCCGTCCGTCCTCGCCCACGCTTGCTGCTCGCTCGCTCACGCCTGTGGCCTCCAGGTGACGACGCACGACTTGCACGTGGGGAGCTGATTTTTTCAGGCTCCTGAAAGACTCGTCGCAATCCATGCGGATTCTGAGACGCCCTTAAAAAGAACTCCGCCATGCTTTCACTCACTCACTCACTCATTCACTCACTCACTCACTCACTCACTCACTCCCTCCCTCTCTCCCTCACCCCTGCGCCCCCCGCCCACCCCTCTCCAGGTGAAGACCTACGACCCACACGTGGGAGCCGTGACAGACGCGGTCTTCGACTCCACCTCCTCGCACCTCGCCACCTGCTCAGACGACGGCACCGTCGTCATCCGCTCCCTCAACCTCCCTCCCCACCTCACCACCCCACCTCCCCTCTCCTCCTCCCCATCCTCCTCCTCCTTCTCCTCCTCCGCGTTCACTGCATCCTCCCCACCGGCTTCTCTCTCCGCTGCTGTGGCTGCGGCGTCCTCTGGGGTAGAGACGGTGGAGCGGTTTGAGTACCATCGCCCGCTCAGGTCGCTTGCTCTTGATCCCGCGTTCGGTGCTGTGTGGCGCACGCGCCAGTTCGCCACGGGGGGCGTGGCGGGGGAGCTTATATTGAGTACACGGGGGTGGCTGGGGGCGACGGATCAGGTGCGTGGGGGGAGGGGAGGGGAGGGGGAGGGGAGGGGGGGGGGAGGGGAAGGGAAGCTGTAAGAGCAAGAGCGAACTGGATGCAATGTATCAGATTGAGCAGCTGCGATGGCAGGGCAAATGCATGGTTCTGTATTCTCTATATTTTTTTGTACGTGCTGCGATGGGCATTTCCTTGGTGTCTCATTCGTCCCCCACATCTCCTCTCTCTTCCTCCCTCCAGGTGCTGCACACGGGGGAGGGCGCCATCACGGTGGTGTGGTGGAGGGGCACGTACCTCCTCCTTTTCAGCCCTCCTCACTCGTTCTCCCTTTTTCCCCTTCTCCCCAACCCCCCGTCTTCAATCTCCCTGCCCCCCAGGTGCTGCACACGGGGGAGGGAGCCATCACAGTGGTGCGGTGGAGGGGCACGTACCTAGCATGGGCCAACGACCGTGGCGTCAAGGTCTACTGCGTCGCCTCCTCTGCTCGCCTCGCCTTTGTGGAGCGCCCACGAGGCAGCCCCAGCCCCTCCGTGCTGCCTCCACACCTCTTCTGGCGGGTCCGTGCCTGCCTGCCTGCCTGCCTGCTTGTCTGTTTGCCTGCCTGCCTGCCTGCCTTCCTACCTGCCTGCCTACCTTTTTCTTTGTTTGCCTGCCTGCCTGCCCTCCTGCTCGCGCTCCTGCTTGCCCTCCTGCTTCCCCTCCTGCTTCCCCTCCTGCTTCCCCTCCTGCTTCCCCTCCTGCTTGCGCTCCTGCTTGCCCTCTTGCTTGCCCTCCTGCTTCCCCTCCTGCTTCCCCTCCTGCTTCCCCTCCTGCTTCCGCTCCTGCTTCCCCTCCTGCTTCCCTTCCTGCTTCCCCTCCTGCTTGCCCTCCTGTTTTTTTTCCTGCTCCCCGGCCAACTCTGTTTATCTAACCTCCGTCCACCCATTTGCCACGTGTCTTCCTCCTCTACACCCCTCCCCCCCACCCACTCCCTTCACCCTGCCTCCCGTCCCCACTCAATCTGTGGCTCGCTCTCAACCCCAATCACGTCACAGGATGACTGCACGCTCATCATTGGCTGGGCCGATACCATCAAAGTAGCCGTCATTCGTTCCAGAACAAATCCCTCATCCTCCACCTCATCCTCCTTCTCTTCCTTCTCCTCCTCCTCCTCCTCCTCTTCCGCCTCGTCCCCATCGCGCTACATGGAAATCACCTCAGTCCTCAAAGTCGACTATTTAATCTCCGGCATAGCCCCCTACGGAGACCTCCTTCTCGTTCTCGCCTACCTCATGCCCTCCTCCTTCTTTGCCAACTCCAGAAGCGCCAGCTCCTGCAGCAGCAGCAGCAGCCGCAGCAGCAGCAGCTGCAACAGCGTCAGCGCTCGCTCCCCCTCCACCCCCACCACGCACCAGCTTCTCTCCCTGTCTAGCTCCTCCGGTCATCTCTCTCTGCCGGCTGCTGCTGCTGGGCTGCTTGCCTCCTCGCCTCTCTCCGGCTCGCGCTCCCCGTCCCACCATTCCCTCGCTTCTCCTCTCACTCCCCCCACTGTCTCCTCCCCTTTGGCTGCTGTGCCGCCGCCACAACCACCACCATCCACAGCTTCGTTTTCAGCAGCAGCAGCAGCAGCAGCACCATCAGCTGGAGTTGCTGCTCCAACTGCTACTGCTGCATCCGCTGCAACTAGTGGTGGCATTAGCAGCAACGACAACAGCAGCAGCAGCAGCAGCAGCGGTCAGGTACCCGCTTCTGTTGCAGCAGCAGCAGCCCCTGTTTTGCTTCCGGACTCGCCAACAGCGGCAGCAGCAGCGCTGGCAGCGGTGGCAGCAGTGGGAACGGCCCTCAATGACGCTGTTGCTGTGCCCAGTGCTGGCGAGGGGCCCCTCACTCTGGTATGCCATGGAACACGCGAGGGTTGGGACCATGCGCATGGGCATGGGCATGGGCATGGGCATGGGCATGGGCATGGGCATGGGCATGGGCATGGGTATGGACATGGGCATGGGCACGGCCACAAAGATGGGTGTATGGGGTCCTCACCTTATTGTCACAAGTCACAGCTAGCAACTAACTGGAATAAATAACCATTGCATCTGTGTGCCTCGCTCCGTCTCCCTGTCATCCTATTCCTCTCCTCGCCTTTCTCCCAACATCTTCTCCCTTCCCTTCCCCCTCCACTTCTCCCTCTTCTCTGCCGCTCCTCCCTCTCCTCACCACTCCGTCCCTACTCCCACACCACTCCTCCCCCTTGCCTCCACCGTCGTTCCTTCCCATGTCTTCTGCTCATCGTCTATTCGGGCTCGCAGGCCCGAGGTGCACCTGCTGTCTCTTTAGAACCATGAGCTCATGTCTTACATTCTTTCTTTTCTAAAGTGCCTCGAAACTCCTCCACCGCCCCTCTCTCCCGCCCTGTCTATTCGTCTCACCCTGCAGGCTCTCAGGCCCGAGGTGCGCCTGGTGTCTCTCAAGGACCACGAGCTCTCATCTGACATCCTCTCCCTCAGAGGCTTTGAGCGTCTGCAGGCTGCAGATTACTACCTTGCACACTCTCCCCTCTGTGGTGCGCTCTCGCTCTCCTTCCCTCTTCCTCTCCCTCTCACTCTCCCTCTCACTCTCCCTCTCCCTCTCCCTCTCCCTCTCCCTCTCCCTCTCCCTCTCCCTCTCCCTCTCCCTCTCCCTCTCCCTCTCCCTCTCCCTCTCCCTCTCCCTCTCCCTCTCCCTCTCCCTCTCCTCCTTCTCCTTCCTCTTCTCTATGTCTTTCCGTCTCACCGTTACTCAGTCCACATGCTGTGCTCCCCGTTTTCCTCCTTTCCCCTCACGCATCCATACACACACACATGCACCACACACACATTCTCATCTCTCACCATCCCTTTTCTCCCCGCCCCTTTTCTCCTCCCCCCGCATCACCCCGTTCCACTATCTCCCTCCCACCAGCGACTGCAACTCTCCCTCCTGCCGTCACTGCTGCCGTGGCTGCCTATTCCGCTGGCCCCACCTCCCCGCCTGCCCTGCCATCAGACGCAGCCGCTGCTGCCGCTCCACCCGCAACTGGCACCGCAACTGCAGCAACAACAACAGCGGCATCAACAGCTGCAACAGCATCAGCAGCAGAGGGCAGTGGGTGGCAGCCTTGTTTCGTGCTCCTAAGCCCTCGAGACGTGGTGCTTGCACGTCCCAGGTCCGAATCCTCCTTCCTCCTACCTTCTCTTCCACTGGCACGTCACAGACACAGTACACCCTTTCTCCCTTCTGAGACGTGGTTGCGCTTCTTCTAAGTCCACCCTTTCTCCCTTCTCCCTGGTGGTGTAGACATTAGAGCTTTTGTTCCCTGGTGCCCGCCCGCCCATCCCTCCCCTCCATTTGACCACTCTCTCTCTCCCTTCCATCTCCTCCCATCCCTCAGCCCTTTTTTTTTCATCTTGTTCCCTTCACTAGCAACACATGGCACACCTTGTGCCATGCTCCAATTCACCCATCCCCCCACCCCCCTGTTCCCCCCGCTCCATGCACAATGTCAACTGTCTCCCTGTGCTTCTGGCCCTATGTTCTCCTCCCCTCCTGTCCTCCTTCACCCCTGTCCCTCCTCTCCCCCTGTCTTCCTCTCCCTTTTTCCTCCTCTCCCACTGTCCTCCTCTCCGCCTGTCCCCCTGTCGTCCCGATGAGCAGGGATGCACAGGATCACGTGCAGTGGCTGCTGTCACAGGGCCGTATTCATGCTGCTCTAGAAGCCACCGGCCTTGCACCTGCTGCTTCTGCCGCTGGCGCTTCTGCTGGTGCTTCTAGTGCCACTACTGATGGTGCTGCGGCTGCTGGCGCTGCTGCTGCTGCGGATGGTGGTGGTGGTGGTGCTGCTGCTGCTGGTGCAGCGGGCAGTGCAGGGATGGAGGGAGGAACTCTAACAGGCATCACAATGGAGTTGCTTTCGGAGGTGAGGAGGCGAAACCTGACCAGCTGTTGTGGCTCGGGATGGGTTGAAGGAAGAGCAGGTGAGAGAGCGAGGGGTGGGGAATACAATTGCTGGGAGATCGTGCTAGGGGTTATCTGACTAGGATTTGCTTTACTAGGTAGATTAGATTCTTAGCTTGCCGACTGAAGATTTCCCTGCCCTCCTCTTCTTCGTGTTGGATGCACATCCATTGTGGGCAGTGGGCACTTCCCTTCCCCTCACCACAATGGATGGGCACCAATTGACCTGATGCAGAGTGTAGACAGTGCTCTGCTCTGCACTTCATTCGTATCTGGCACAGGAACATGATGCCCTCGTCTAAGGTGGGGCAGCAGCAGCAGCAGCAGGGAGGCTTTTTGAGGCGCCTCAAAATTTCTCTGCACTTCATTCGTATCTGGCACAGGGGCATGATGCCCGCGTTTGAGGTGGGGCAGCAGCAGCAGGGAGGGAGCACCTGGTGCCTTGTCGTTCCACTCAACGGCACTCGCACTCCCCTCTCCCTGCATCTCTCCCTGCTCTCTCTCCCTGCCTTGTGGGCCCACACGCACGTCCTCCCTCCCACGTGCACGCACGCATACCATGACCCCACCAGGTGGGGCAGCAGTACCTGGACTGGAGCACCTCATGCAGCAGCACACGTACCGTACCACACCGGGCCGCTGCTCTGCCCCAAGCGTCATCTCGTTCCACTCATCAACCCTCGTACCCCCCTCTCTCTCGCTGCACTCTCGCTGCAATACCCCCACCGCACCAGGTGGGGCAGCAGTACCTGGAGCATCTGATCTGATGGCGCAACGCAGGTACCACAAGGCCGCTGCTCTCTGCCGATTTTTTTGTCCACTACCACACATACACCCACCTATACCCCCACCCACCCTCACCAGGTGGGGCAGCAGTACCTGGAGCATCTGATAGCGCAGCGCAGGTACCACCAGGCCGCTGCTCTCTGCCCCAAGCTGCTCCGCTCCCACGCCGCCTCCTGGGAGAGGTGAGGGGTAGGCATGGCATGGCATGGTATGGTATGGCATGGCATGGCATGGCATGGCATGGCATGGTATGGCATGGCATGGTATGGTATGGTAAGGTATGGTATGGTATGGTACGGTATGGTATGGTAAGGTATGGTATGGTATGGTATGGAACGACAGGGCATTACAAATGAAGCCGGCCGGATTTTGTCAGGGGTTGCAATGCAAGCGTGCGAGCGACTGCTCTGATCCCCTCTGTGTGCGTGTGCATGTGCGTGTGCGTGTGCGTGTGTGGGTGTGTGTGCGTGCGTGTGCAACATGCAGGTGGGTGGTGTGTTTCGCCCAGGCGCATCAGCTGTCAGTGCTGCTGCCGCACATTCCCTTTGAGCACCCCCAGCTCGCCCCAGCAGTCTATGAGGTCAGTCAGTCAGTCAGTCAGTCAGTCACAGTGCGCTGCCTCGATCTTGTGCGTGCCCACCCGTGCCACGTGTGTTCATGTCATGTGTCAAAACCACCAGATCTCCCACATCTCCCACATCCCCACTCCACTCCACTCCACTCCACTCCACTCCACTCCACTCCACTCCACTCCACTCCACTCCACTCCACTCCACTCCACTCCACTCCACTCCCCAGTACGTGTTTCTTTGCTCTGGGCAACGCGGTTGCTCTTTCCACCAGCCACACTTGCTCCTGCTCCCTGCTCGTATCATAGCAGAGACTACAGACCAAGACTACACTTGCACCTCCTCCCCCCTCTCTCCATTCCCCTTCCTCTCCCCCGTTCCCCCCCATCTCCCTCCGACCGCCCTCAGATGGTGCTGTGTGCGTTCCTGCCATCCCCCGCGGACCATCCTCTCTTCCTCGCCGTCGTGCGCTCGTGGCCACTTGAGACGTCTCAAAGCTCTTCCCCCTCACACCCCCCCTTCCCCCCCCTCCCCCACCAGATGGTGCTGTGTGCGTTCCTGCCATCCCCCGCGGACCATCCTCTCTTCCTCGCCATCGTGCGCTCGTGGCCACTTGAGACGTTCCAAGACTCTTCCCCCTCACCCTTCCCCCCCCTTCCCCACCAGATGGTGCTGTGTGCGTTCCTGCCAAACCCCGCGGACCATCCACTCTTCCTCGCAGTCGTTCGCTCGTGGCCGCCTGCCATCCTGCCACTGCCCTCCCTCATCGCCCGCGCACAAGCCCGCCACGCCGCTCTCGCTGCTCACGCTCGCCCCTCCGCGCCCCTGCTCGAGGTGATGGCAGAAAGGAAGGAAGGGGCTCTTTCACAGGAGGGGACTTTTGAGTCGACTCAAAAGTCCCCTCCGCGCCCCTTCTCGAGGTGATGCCGGGAAGGAAGGAAGGAAGGGGCTCTTTCACAGGAGGGGAAGGGCTGTGCCGCCTCCTCCCCCCTCCCTCCCTCCCTCCCTCCCTCTTTCGCTGCTCCTGTTTGAGGCATCCCAAAGTTGCTGCTTCTCTGCTCGTGTTGCATTGCATCCCATCCCACTCTGCTTCTGCCACTCTTGAGAATTCTGAACAATGACACAACACAAGCACTGCTGCTTCTGCCGCACTCTGCTGCTGTCCCTCACCCCTGCCCCTCCTCTCATCACAGGCCTTGGCAGAGCTATCCATGAAGAGCAACAACATACCAGAGGCTCTGCGCTTCTACCTCCTCGTATGCTCCCCTCTTTCGTCCCTCTGCTCCTATATATATCCTCCATCCATCCAAGGTACCTTGCTCTTCTCATATTGCCCCTCCTCGTCCTCCGCCCATATAATATAACCCGTGTTTTGAGTCGACTCAGAACATGACTCATTACACACCTCTAAGGTGTTGCTTCCCTCTCATCTTCTCCCCTCCCCTCCCCTCCCCTCCCTGGGCACTGATGCACTGCCATCACCCCTCAGCGTTTTCCTGCTCATGTATGCTCACCTGTCCGCTGATGCATGCATTCAAGTACTTTTTTGCAACCATTCCCTTGCACTGCCTCTAATCACGCCTGTTTTACCATGTATTCTCCCACTCATTTCTCCTCCCTCTGCTCTCTCTCCCTCTCCCTCTCTCTTCTGCACTCTGCTCCGTCTGTCGCTCTCCCCTGCCTGCAATCAGATGGCCTTAGCAGAGGCGAATCCATGCACAACGAGGAGGGTGGACGCTGCATACGATCTCATAAGGACCCATGCCTCGCTGCTGCTGCCCTGCCTCAGAACTCAGGTGCCATGCCATGCCCTGCCATGCCATGCCCTGCCATGCCATGCCATGCCATGCCATGCCATGCCATGCCATGCCATGCCATGCCATGCCATGCGCTGCTTGCCTCATGTGCGCTGATGTGCCTTGCCATCATGCTGCATTTCAACTGCGTAACCACTCCTACCTCTCCTTCATCACCATCCTTTCTCCTCCCTCCTCTCTCTCTGCCCCTCCCCCCACCTTATCTCCTCTCTCCTCTCTCTCCCCTCACCCCTCGTTTCCTTGCTCCTGTGTTTCTCTCTTCCCCAAATGCGTGAACCCCTTCCCACAGCTGCCGCTTCTCCTGGCAGTAGATCCGTCCAGGTGCATTGCATTCGTGTCAGCCCGAGTGCGCCTGTTCCCCCCTGCCCGCGTCGTCTACTGCATCGCTCGCCTGGACGCCGTCCGCTGTCTTCCTCCCTCTCCCTCTCCCCTCCCCACTGCTACCTTATCTCCTTTTCCTCCCCGTTCTGTTTCTTCGCCTCCTGCCCCTGCTGCTGCTGCTGCTGCTGCATCTGCCACGGCGCCTCAAACGGGTTTGAGCTCACCAACAACTGCTGCTGATGGTGCTGCTGTTGCTGTTCCCGCGGGTTGTGATGCTTCTAGTGCTGCTGCTGAGGAAGGCATGCATCCAGGCTCACACAGAGAGGGTGGCAGGAGCAGACCACAAAAGCTACAGCTACTACTACAGCTACACGAGGGTGGGGAGGAGGTGACGGAGGAGGGATGGGAGGGAGCAGCTGGGAAGGAAAGGGGAGAGGGGAAAGCGCGAGAGGAACGCGAGGAGGGAGAGGACGAGAGGGAGGAAGAGGACGGGGAAGAGGAGGGGGGAGAGGAGGGGCAGGAGTTGGAGGGGGCAGTGGTGCGTGGCATGGGGAAGGTGTGTGTACGGCACCTCATGCTACGGTACCTGCACACGGTGTTCTTGAGAGATGCTGCTGTGGGCAGACGATGGCACACCATGCAGGTAAGGTGGGAAGCAGTGCCAGGCTGACTTTTGAGTCGACTCAAAAGGCACCTCATGTTCCGGTACCTGCACACGGTGTTTGTGAGAGATGCCGCTGTGGGCAGGTGATGGCACACCATGCATGTATGGAGGGAGGGAGGGAGGGAGGGAGGGAGGGAGGGAGGGAGGGAGGGAGGGAGGGGCGGCAGAGCATGCAACGCAGGTAGTTAGCATGATGGCTCTTGCAGCATGCACACATGTACTTTTGTTTTGAAAGGTATAGCTCAATGTGTCCTCAATGTTCCATGTTCACACAGACCTGTAGCCTTGTTCGGCACTCCTTGTAACCCCCCCGTTGGGAATGGTATTCACCAGGTACACCTGTACGCGGAGTTTCAGCCGTCGTTCCTACTATCCTTCCTGCGCCGCAGCTCATTCTACTCCCTTGACGCTGTGAGTGAGCCACGTTGCTTGCACCACCATCATTCCCTCATCATTCCCTCATCTCATCTTTAAACAGCGTCCGTGCCTGCACATGCGGCATGCCCTCTTGTTACAATCTTTATGTACCCGAATGGTCAGTGCTTGCACTGCCGCTGCCTCTTGCACTTCCCTTCCTTATCCCCATCCCCTTCCTCCCCCCTTCCTCCCCCCTCCCTCCTCCCGACCCCTCTTGACCCTCTCCCTCATCCCATCCGCTCCTCCCTTTCCTCTCCACCGCCCCAATTCCTCTGCCCCTCCCCTCTCCGCCCCCTCGCACTCCCCTTGGCACCGGTGGTGCCAGGCGTACAGGGCGTGTCAGCAGCGGGGCTTACAGCACGCCATTGTGCTGCTACAGCAGCATCCCTACAAAGCCACTCCCTCAAAGTTTTCCCCTCCCCCCCCCCCTCACCTCCTCCCGTTCCCTTCCTCCCTTTTCTCCCGGTGGTGCCAGGCGTACAGGGCGTGCCAGCAGCGGGGCCTACAGCACGCCATGGTGTTGCTACAGCAGCGCATGGGCAACCACCACACTGCGCTCTCCCTCTGCCTGCACGCCCTGGGCGACGTTGATCAGGTGAGTGAGACGAGGGAGGCGAGACACAGAGAGACAGGCTGTTTTGGAACTCAAAGCTCTCAAAGGCAGAGATTCTGAACTCGGAGCTTTGACAGCTCAGCACTCGCTCTTTTTTCTTTTCTTGATTTTTTTAGCCATTTGAGTTGGTGGGATTGTCGCAGTGTGAGTGTGCCAAGCTGACGAGTGTTGTACGATGGTGGCATGGCATGGCATGGGGCGATGGGATGGTCAGTGCCGTGGAGGGGCGCTGCTGCCCTCGTGCATTTGAGTGCAACCAACTCTCAGTTCAACTCCCCGTGCTTCTCTCCATGGCACCGCATGGCATGGCATGGCATGGCATGGCATGGCATGGCATGGCATGGCATGGCATGGCATGGCATGGCATGGCGTGGCATGTGTCATGGTGCGGGATGGCATGGAAATTTATGGGATCTTATGGCATGGCATGGCATGACAGGCACTCCAAGTGGTAGCAACGAGTGGGGACGACTCTCTGTGCGCCTCCATCACCCACCAAGCTGCCTCCAATCCCCGCATTGTACAGTCCCGTCCCATGCCATGTGCCTACCTTTCCTTCAACTCCCGCCACATGGTGGTGTGAAGTTCAGCATTCATTGCATCGTCGTTTAAAAATTACCTCATGTGCCTTCTGTCCGCCTTCTGTCCAATGCCTTCAACCCTGTTCCAATCTCCCCATCCCCATCCCCCTCTCTGTCTCTCCCCGCTCTCCCTCTCTCCCTCCCACCCTCGCCTCTCTCATCCCATCCCTCAACTCTCGTGCTGCCAGCTGCCAGCTCTCCTGGACCGCTGTCTACCCACCATCAGTCCGCTGCACCTAGTGCGCATGCTGCACCCGCACCACCCCGTTCCTCGGTACGTCCTGGTCCTTCCATCCATCTGACCATATCACTCACATCCGTCCCTCAATGCCCCACCTGAGTGGTGACTTGACTTGACACGTGCATGGAGCCTCTAGCCTCTAGTCTCCACATGAAGCAGGAACAGAGTCGTCTCCTCGACGTGCAAAAGCTGAATCCTCTATCCCCAGCTTCAGATTTCAACATTATTTTCTCCTCATTCCACTCTCCTTCCTGCTCCCTCTGTCACACCTGATCCCACTCTGCTTTACCATCTCCCTCCCCCCTCCCCACCTACCCCCTCCCGTCACACAAACACACTCGTGTCTCTCGCCACCCCTGCAAAACCAGGTTAAAGCAGCGGCTCATCCCTCTCCTCCAGTCGGCCTCATTCCAAGTGGATATTGAGCGACAATCGCACCAACTTGTTCTCGTGAGCCCACGAAATTCACCAACCACATACACCCACTCACTCACCCACGCACGCTCGCATGCACGCTCGCACACACGCACTCACGCACTCACATACTGTTGCCCGAGGTACCTTGCCTGATTTATGACTCGGCGCAGTCACATGTGACCTTGGAGTTACTCCCGATCGACCCGCTTCCTTGTTCTGCGTTTCCTTCCCTATTTCCACTTGACCTCTCCATCCTTTCCTGTTCATGTGCTGCTGCTGCTGCTGCTGCTGCATTCCACTGGACATCCTTTCCTTGTTCCTGTGCATGTCCTCAAGAAAAGTGAGACGTTTTAAAGCACTCTCTGCTTCCCATCCTATCCCATGTCCTCCTTCTCTACTTCCACCCCTCTCTCCTCTTTCCAATTGTGTGCCCTTCCTCCCACCCTCCCTCCCTCCCCTATCACACCACCTCACCTGCCCTTCGCCCTGCAAACTGCACCTGCACTGCAGGCTGGCTGGTTCAAGCTCTTCTCCTCATTTCATAAAGAGGCGTGCAGAGCGGTGCGAGTAGGTTCCTCCGCCTGGCAGTTCAGCCTCTCCGTCCCCCCTTCCGCCTTCGCCACCCCTGCTTTCCTCCTCGCCTCTCCAACCCTCTCCTCCCTGCCGCCTCCCTGGCTGCCTCCCACTCCCAGCGCTGCCTCCGCTGCTGCTGCAGCTGCTGCTGCTGGTACTGATGCTGGGCTGATTTTTTCAGAGAGAGGCGGGCGGAGTGAGAGGAGGAGGGTGGTGGAGGAGGAGCAAGGAGGGAAAGCAGGAGAAGGAGGGTCTGGAGTAGGTTCAGGCACAGGGGCAGGAGGAGGTCATGTTAGTGCCGACAGTGGCGGCGGTAATGGTGGTGGTAATGCTGCTGCTGCTGCTGTTGCTACTACGACTGGAACAGATGATGCTTCTGTCGAGGAGGCATCGACTGACAGGGTTTCTTTGTACAATAGCTCTCACGACCACGCAGCAGCGGCGGCGGCGACAGCAGCAGCAGCAGCAGCAGTGCCGGCAGGCTCCCTTGCGTGTGCAGGCAGCACGCGGTGCTGTGTGTGCCTGGATTCCATCTGCTTGTTTGACTCCGCAGCTGTGGTCTTCTTCTGCCGCCACTCCTACCACCGCTCATGCCTGCTCCATTCCGCCACCGCCGCTACCGCCGCTGCTGGTGCGGCAGCTGGTGCTGCTGCTGGGGCTTCAGAAGGAATAAGTGCTGCCACTGCAGGTTCACCCTGGGCGTTCTCTTCTCCTGCTGCTGGTGGGACCTCTAGCAGCTACCTCCCTTCTCATTTCCTTCCCTTGTTGCCACCTGCTCAACGTCCTTCCTCGTCCCTCCTACTAGCCCACTCCTTCACACAGCCCTCGCAAGAGCTTTCTCCTCGCATGACAGAAGCAGCAACTGAGAGAGCATCTGCAACCACTCTCGTACCTCCTGCCACCACCGCCTCCTCACCTGCTGCTGTGACTGCCTCTGCTTCCACCAGTGCAGCTGTCGCCGCAGCTTCACAGTCTGACCTGTCATGTCTTGATTCTGAGCTGTTTCCCGCCACACATGACGTGGCTTGTGCTGTGTCTGACGTGTCTTGGTCTGACTCCCCTATCGTGGAACGAGTAAGGGCAGTGCTGGAGGGGCAGAGTGGAAGGGCAGAGGAAGGTGGGGGGTTTCTGGGAATGGGCAGGGGGAGCAGGAGGGGAAGAAGGCGGCAACAGAGAGCTATGCGGCTCAGTGGGTCCTCTGCCTCTGCTGCTGTTGACTCTGGTGCTGATTCTGCTGCTCCCACCAGCAAAGAAGGTACACCAGTAGAAGGAACGCAAGGAGGGGGAGGCAGGGGAGGAACAGGAGGTGGAGAAGGAAGCGGAGAAACAAAGGGAAGAGGAAGGAATTCCCAGGGCTGGAGTGCTTTTCCTGCCACGCCTCTTGGTGCCTCCCATGCCGCCCGCCCCAGCGATCTTGGGGAGCTGCGGCTGCTCTCGTACTGGCAGCGAGGATCAACCCCCATGGTGGCAGAGTCTAGTGAGAGACACGTCACAGGGAGAGATGAGCCGCAGCAACACTCACACGGAGGGGTTTCCAGAAGGGTGGATTCTGATTCTGACGGGTGTGGGCCAGGAGGGGGCGGGGCCGGAGAGGGCTGGGATGAGGCGAGGCAGGTGGGGGAGGAGGAGAGGTATGGGAGGAACGGTGGCGCGAGAGAGGGGGTGGGTGGAGTCAGGGAGGAGGGGAGTGGGTCTGGGTTGTATGGATCATGTGAAGGGACTGCTGGGGATGGTCGCAGTGGTGGTGCGGGTGCTGGTGATGATGTTGTTGGTGGTGGTGATGCAGTGGTATCAATACAAGATGTGGAGACAGCACAAGGACAGGTGGCAGTGGCACCACCACAGGCGCCTCCTGACCTACAAACACAACAAGAGAACAAGGGTGCCATGGATGGTTCGGGTAATGACAAGCAGGCACATGCTATTGTGGGAGAATCGAGAGGTGTGGTGGTGAAAGGGGCGGTGAGGGCAGGGGGTGTTTGCTGGGGAGAGAGAGTAGATGGACTGGTGTTAAGATGTGCCATGTGTGTTGGTGCTGCTGGTGCTACTGGTGCTGTGGGACGGAATGGTTGGTAGGCGGAGGGTTGCGGTGAGAAGTGCTTCTATCAACATCTGATATCTCCTATTGTCTACAGTACAACGGATGCATGTGCTCGGCACTGTATGGGTACACCTGGGGCCAAGCTTTCGATATAGTACGGAGCTGAATGGGTAGTTGGGTGGGTGGGTGTGCGTAATCTGCTTTGTAAAATGTCTTTGTTGTCAAGATGCCTGCAATAAGGCATCTCACAAGCAAGCATGGTGCTGTTTAATTTATTCAATATTACTGTATCGGTTTGCTGGCAAGCAGTTGCTTCTCAGACCTCACCACCACTGTGTTCACCACTAATTGTCTGAATCGTTTGTATGAAATATTTAAGAGGTACAGTTGTGGACTTTCACACACCAGGGTTGGTCCTGATTGGGATGAGAACTGCATTGCTGACATTGCAGTCTTGATGTACCGGTAATCATTAGCATATTACATGTGATTAACACTAGAGAGGTGTATGTACCGTATGATTCATACTTGAGAGGTGTACGTACTACTTTATCTCAAGAAGCGTGCACAACGGAATGGTCAACTAGAAACAGGATAGGGTACAAATATGCGAACCTAACAGTTGTACCCCCTAGAAGGCACCTCACTACAGCCTATATAACATATTATATATTTGACACACCCCCATAGGCTAAGTGAGGGGCATCAAAGCAAGCATGGTGAACAAACGGTCACAAGACCAGTCAAGACAAGAAGTAAAGCAAGCTCAGGGTGGATCTCAAGGACACCACACAAATTCCGAGCACAAAACAAGCGGCCACAAGGCCAGTTCAAGAGTTCACTAGGATATATAGAACAGCAAAACAAGCAGAGCAAACAACAAGGCTACAGCAGTCGAGGGCCTACCTCAACAAGCCCCAACTGCACACAGAACCTGTGGTGGTCAACAGGCGCCAAGGCCTTGGTGAAAACGTCGGCAGTGTTGGCCTCTGAGACCACAAAGTCCAAGTGTGACTGGCCGTGTCGCTGCAACTCTCGCAAGAGGAAGTATTTATGTCAATATGCTTCACTCTGCTCTCCAGTCGAGGCTCTTGACACAGGAGGATCATGGCCTTGTTGTCAGCGTACAAGGTCGGTGCAGAGCGAGGCCGCTCACCAAGGTCGGCGAGCAAGAAGGTCAACCAGCGAAGCTCCTGTGCCGCCATGGCACCAGCGTAGATCTCTGCCTCTGCACTGGACGAAGCCACAGACGACGACGACCGTGTAGACCTCCACGACACAGCACCAGCACCCAGACTGAAATAGTAACTCTGAGTCGAACGCTGAGTCTCAACGTCGTCAGCGTAGGAAGAGTCGCAGTGACCGGTCAACACAACTGGCTGTGTCCCTCCAAGCACAAGCCCCATGCCTGATGTAGCACCCTCACAGCAGCTCTCCAGTGAACAGGACGGTGTCTCCCAGTCGCAACAAAGCGAGAGAGGACGCTGAGGGGAAAGGCGAGGTCCGGCCGAGTACAAGTCATCAGGTACATGAGGCAGCCCACAAGCTCTGCGTTGGGACCACTAGACTCAAAGGGCTCGTCGGGAAAAGGGCCAGTGAGTCGGTGGTCAACGGCAAGAGGAGTGGGCTGTGTGGTGGAGAACTGAAACCCGAACCGCTGAAGGACCTGCTGCACCATGTGTGACTGCGTCAATGTGATGGTGCGAGCGGCTCTGTCCCTGCTGATCTGCAGGCCAAGGTACCGCTGCAGTTCACCAAGATCAGTGCACTTGGACCTCACCCGGCAAGGACGCCGGAGCGAAACTCACCCCCACGGTCGGAGTGGAGACAACTGACACGACTACCACGAGTGTCCTCAGTGGCCAAAAGCCACCGGATCAGCGTAGAAGTCACCTCGGACTTCTTCGCAAGAGGAATCACCGTGGTGTACCTGGAGTAGTCGTCAACGACCACTAGGAAGTAGCGCTCCCTCTCAGGGCCCAGTGTAGGGGCAGGGCCTCAGACGTCCAAGTGGAGAGTCTGGAAGGGAGCAGCGGCCGGAGGAAGGGAGGAGGAGTGCGGTGTGGCGCGCAGGTGGCCGGCGACGCAAGGAGTGCAAGGCGGGGCAAGCGAGGGAGGGAGTGACCGAAAGACGCGCGGGAGACCTGAGACAAGACTGTGACTAGCTATGCTACGGAGGCGGGGGAGCGACAGGTGGCCAAGACGGTGGTGCCACAAGACGGTCGGGTGGGTGAGGGACCGACAGGAGCAAGACGCAGCAACCTGACCAGACACAGCAGCCGGACTAGATACTGGGACCTGAGGGGACGCAGCAACCTGGGTGGAGGCAGCAACCGGGGAGTGCTCGGTGTGGAGAACGTAGAGACCAGAGCGGGACTCCCTGGTGAACGTGGCCAGAACAGCACCTGTAGCAGCGTCTGTACAGACCGCAGTCCTCCCACCCCCCACAAAGGTAACTGTGATCCCCGTGTCCTGGAGGTATCCAACACCCACCAAGTTCCGAGTGAACGAGGGGATGTGGAGACCGCGCAGGACACCAGAGGGGACCACAGGGCACAAGAGGGTGGTGGAGCTGCGCGCAACGGCTGGTCCTGAAGAAGGATCAGCCAGAGCTACCGGAACCGGAGCAAGGAGTGGTGTGAGTGTCGTGTGGTCGCGGATGAAACACTGCGACGCGCCAGAGTCCAGCGTGAAAGAAAGGGACGCCTCAGCCTGAGGTGTGCCGGGCCCGGAGGCTACACAAGCACTTAGAGCAGAAACACAAGCACCTAGACTAGAGAGGCACACGTCTACACTAACAGGAGGCAAGCATCCTAGACTACGAACACACGAGCACACAGATCCATCAGCACTATAGTCAACATCAGCATACAAAGCATACTGACGAGCATCGTCCATAGACAGTTCAAATACTGGAATCTTACGTGCTAGCAGGCGAGCCCAGCGCGGGGTCGTCACCTCAGGACCCCAGCGTGCCCGAAGAGGTCGTCGAGGCGGCGGAAGCACCGCGCCGCTGAGTGGTCGTCGCGGCCGCAGACACAGGGACTGCCAGGTCCGGTGACGCACCAGTGGTCGCAGGGGCCGGTGTCGCGCCGCGGGGGGCGAGGGGCCCAGCTGGCAGTGCTGCTGCTGCGGCCAGTGCTCCCGGGTCCTCCAGGTCCCCACTGTGGCGGAGGGCCCCAGTGCTGCTGCGGACCCCACTGCAGTGGGGGTCCCCACGATTGAAACTGCTGTGGTGCCTGTCACTGCTGCTGTCCCTGCTGCTGCTGCTGCTGTCTCTGATGTGGCTGCTGCTGCTGTGGCTGCTGCTGCTGGGTCCCTGCACCACCGCTAGTCGAACCTCCTCCAGCAGGCGGGCCAGCACCTCCTCCAGGGCTCCCTCCGCCTAGTGCACCACCGCCACCGCCACCACCGCCGCCCACAGGGCCGCTACCACCACCGCCACCTCCTCCACCGCCTCCACCCCCCTTCCCCCCTTTCTTGCCTCCCTTGCCCCGTTTCTGCCTGTCAGCGGCAAAAACAGCTGCAGTGTCCTCAGAGACCGACACAGCAGCAGAGGCACGAGTAGCAGTGAAGGTGGGAAGCTGGGGGATGGCACACCCCTCAAACAGACGGGGAGCGACTGCGTCAGTGGCTGAGGCAACAGAGAGGAGGTTACTCTCGATCTTCCCGAGAGTGGTCTCGAGAAGATAAATCGTAAGCTCACTGGGGTGCTGCTGGAGAAGTGCGTCACGGGCAGAGGAGAGGCGGTCAGGGAGACGAGTGACTACCCAGTGGACGGTGAGCCAGACAGGAGGGGGAGCAAGAAGAAGCTGAGCCTCAGTGCAAGATGCTCGGTAGCTAGCGACAAGGGAGCACAAGTGTGTGGCTAGGTCGGAGACAGTCGCAAACGAGCCGAGGTCGGGAAACACGAACGACATGAGGATGCGGCTGAGGGAGGCAGAGGAAGGGGTAGAATAGCGTGCAGAAATAGCAGCATACACCTCCTTCGCAGTGTCTACCAGGTCGAAGTGAGCGGCCTCAGTCGGTGGAAGGAGCTCAGTCAGCGCGAGTGCAGCCGCAGCGTCATGGGAGTCCCAAACGTCCCGCGCCAAGACGAGACGAGCGTAGTCCGCCTGCGCCTCCAGAGTCGGGGGGGGCACGGCAGGGAGGGGCTCGGGACGCGGGGGTGCCTGGAGGGCGCCGGGCGCGTGGGCGTACAGGGTGGCGCCGTCTTGGCGCTGACTGGTGAGGTAGCGTTGAGTCTGGCGGAGCCAGGTGCCGAACTCTATCGGGCGTCCCTCCGCATCGAAACGAAGGCGGTGGGAGTCCATACTGGAGGCTAGGCTAGATGCGGCTGAAGCACGGAGCAGGTGGAGCTAGGAGCGAGAAGGGAGACTACAGACAGCTAGAGACGCCAGCTGGACATAGACTAGAGACAGTCGGAGGAAACTAGTCTAGGGTTTGGGGATCTAACCGGTCCTAGGTCGCGCTACCGGTGGGAAGAGCGGCTGCCAACCGCTGAAATGGAAGCCAACCGCAGTAGGAATGGTGTGGGGCCGGGGAATAGGTTAAGAGGAGGGGCCAACGGTTAGGCAGAGTGGGGCGCCCTCGTGTAGCAAGGGTGAGGGCACGGGTAGGGCGCGTGTGCGGGCTAGGCGCGAACGCTGCGGAGGGCGCGGACGGTGCGGAGGGGCGGGCTAGGGCAGGGCGCGGCCTAGGGCAGAGCGCGGCTTAGGGCAGGGCGCGGCCTAGTTCTAGGTCGCTACTGAGGGCGAGGGCGCGGCCTAGGGCGAGGGCGCGACCTAGGGCGAGGGCGCGGCTTAGGTCGCGGGCGAGGGCGACTGGTTAGGTCGCGGGCAGGGGCGACGGGCTGGGGCGACGGGCTAGGGCGCGGGCTGGGGCGACGAGCTAGGGCGCGGGCTGGGGCGACGGCCTAGGGCGCGTGTTAGGTCGCGGGCAGGGGCGACGGGCTGGGGCGACAGGCTAGGGCGTGGGCTGGGGCGACGAGCTAGGGCGCGGGCTGGGGCGACGGCCTAGGGCGCGGGTTAGGTCGCGGGCAGGGGCGACGGGCTGGGGCGACGGGCTAGGGCGCGGGCTGGGGCGACGAGCTAGGGCGCGGGCTGGGGCGACGGGCTAGGGCGCTGGCGAAGGAGCAGGCTAGACGCGGAGGGTGCTAGGGCGCGGAGGGCGCTAGGGCGCTGAAAGCGTGGAGGGCGCGAGAGCGCGGAGGGCGCGGAGGGATCTCGGGGCGCGGAGGGCGAGGAGGGCGCTAAGGCGCGGAGGGCGCGGAGGGCACGGAGTGCGCGGAGGGCGCGGAGAGCGCTAAGGCGCGGAGGGGGCAAACACGGGCTAGGCTAGGAAACGAACCTAACTGATACCATCTCAAGAAGCGTGCACAACGGAATGGTCAACTAGAAACAGGATAGGGTACAAATATGCGAACCTAAAAGTTGTACCCCCTAGAAGGCACCTCACTACAACCTATATAACATATTATATATTTGACACTTTATTCGTTCAATGCAGATTCTCCAATGTGTATCAACTTCTGAACCTCTGTATCTGCAGAAATGCAGCAGAAGCTTAGGTTGATTGTGCCTCGAGTTTCCGAAAGCGTAGAAAAGCATCCTACCGATAAGCATGCAATTTTGTAAATTGAGCTACTGTAAGGGGAGGTACACTTTGCTCTCGTGAAATTATTCACCACATTTCTGTGTCAATATTGAAGAGAAACGGATTCCTGGGAGGGGGATTTTTCGGCTCTTCATACGAGGACTTGCCAAGGTTAAGGTTAAGGTTATATATTGATCGTAATCAATGTACAAAGAATAATACCACAGAGCTATCTAGAAACATGGCCGAGATGGCCAGCATCCTATAAGGAAGAATGGGAATCGGAAAATGAACCACGCACGTGGCTGCTGACAAGATTCGTGGTTGACGTCCAGGTTTTCGGCGCCGTAAATAGAGAGGTTTCAGATGCTGTTGAAAAAAGGTTTTTTGTTCTTGAGTGGGGACTGTTGTAAATGTGCATGTCCATGCTCTCCTGGGTGCTGGATGTGTCTGCCTGAACACTGGGACCACTACGTATCCCCGACACTTAGCGCGCAGTAATCCAGGAAAAACATCCCATGCTTCGAAAGGGGTTTGTTAGAAAATTAGGACGTGGTGCAGATCGGGGAGATCTGAGGCTGATTGCCTCGATCTACGCAATCCTCAATTTCCGTGAAGGTCCAGGGGGTACTTTTGGGCAATCGGGTGCAATCTATCGATCGCAATCGATTGCGATCGATTGCCTCAATTTGATGCAATCGATTGCGGCCGATTGCAATCGATATATTGGGTAAGTTGGCGACTATGAGCGATCAGTAACCACCAAAACATATTTTCGTTTTTGCTCGCTGCTACAGAACATCTCGCGACATTCGAACTTTCCAGACTGAACCTCTCGACAAAACAACACAATTTGCGACGTAATGGGGCTACCTTGTAATTTCGCGAGACGGACGGTCGCTTCGTTTTGCCAAAAGTAGGCGGAAGGGACGTACAACTCGCCTGGAAGGCGCGGCTGAGGTTCCGCCTTGTTTCGAAGAAAAACTTTGGTCAGATTGCGCGGCGCGGGAGGCGATCGATGATTGCGTCAGATCGGGGCAATCACACCCAATCGATTGCGTTCTGATCCAATCGACCACCGATTGCGTGAGATCGGTGCGATCTGCACCACGTCCTTAGAATAGCTCCAACAGGCAAAACCAAGGGAAAATATGTCATAAGTAACCAACATGGGACTCGATAACGTGAATGGTAAAAAAGTAACGCGTACGGTCACTGTGTCGAGTTTGCTGACGGGTTTGGTAAGTGGGGTCACGGATTCAGTCACTAACAACAGGTAAAAAATCACGCGAATGGTCACACATGTAACCCCCGCCAAAAAATCTTGAAACTCTACAAAATTCCCGCTCGCAACAACCAATCAGCTAACTTCTAAAAAAAACTAAAACCCAATTGGAATCGGATGCGGTTTGGGAACGGATCAACCCTAAACACCTGGCGAGTTGTGTTTAGGGTTGATTCATCCGAAAACACATCCAGGTTCGTTTTGGGTATTATCTTTTTTGGGCGGGAGTTTCATCTGTGACCATTCGCGTTATTTATTCCTAGTTGATTGTGACTGATTCCGTGAAACGCAATATCAAACACGTGAAAACACCCTTTCCAGTGACCGTACCCGTTATTTTTTTACCGAACATATTATCGAGACCCTTGTTGATTACGAGTGGCAGATTTTCCCCAAAACCAATGTTGTTGTCGTTCACAGAACACCTTACGGCGTGTTACAATTCGCGGTGCACTGCCTCTGCTCGGCTCGGGGCACGGGTTGAGGAAGGCTCCAGGAAAGCAAGAAGCCGTAAAAAGGTTACAGAAAACGCACAAAAACATTCCATGTCATATTATAATCCATGTCAAATAACTCTTTCAATCTTTATCTTGAAACTTGTTTTTCCCGAATCAGTGCCTGGGTTTGGCCTGCCTGCCTGAAGCCTTCCAAGTGTCCCGAGCCGATGCAGTGCACCGGCAATTGCAACACGCCATTACCCACTCACCAAGTTCTAGTGCCATTGCTTCCCAGCTCTATCGGAAACTAGCTTTCGTTTTCATTGCCATGGCGGTTGTCCACAGCATATGCTCCTTACCACAACAAATACGTAGTTTCTGTATGCCGTGCTTTTAAGAGTGCCGCTGTATTCGTTTCTCTTTTCGTTCTCCACACTTTAGCCGACCTTAGGGCAATGAAGTTTCTTGAGTACACGCCTCTCGCGAGGTGAGCTGAAATTGCTGCAATGTTCTATTTATCATATAGCATTCGAACCGTCTATTTCGGATGTCACGCGCGTCAACTCTGTTTTCCGGACGCCATATTTCATCGCATCCGTTTCCTGGACTAAGGGATGCGAGCGGCTGACTCTTGTAGAAGTGTCCCCACAGCGTGTTCTCACCATGTTGCCTTGTCGACGTTTCTTCGTGCGTCTTGACGACCCCTTTCTCGCTGTTGCTGTATCTGCTTTTCTGTTGGCGAGCATTTCATCTGTTTCCTTTCTTCTCTTGCGTCCCTGGTTGGCTCGATTGACGCTGTCTCGATTCCCTCTCATGACCAGGCTTAATTCTTTTCTTTCACACCTTAACCTTCGCGACCACCAATTACAAGGCCTTCTTGAAGCGTACTCATGTACGTAACTGAGGCTCCATGGTAACTTACACGCTAAACCAGGCATTTCTTCTCGTGCCATTCCATCCCTTTCGTCGCCCTATTTTCGCATCACCCGCTCTTCTCAATCTCCGCTCACCTCATAAGTCCTCTTGACGCGGTTTTTTGTTGTTGTTGTTGTGGTTTTTTTTTTTTTTTTTTTTTTTTTTCTGTGTTTATCTGCCCATGGTGCATTGCATTGATGGCCCATATTTGAATGATTACGTTGCATGGGTCGCCTGACATGGCGGTCCCGTTTCAAACACGTGGATTGAGGTTGTTGGTAATTGCTTCTCTTTTCTTATTTGTACTTCTTGCAAACGGCTGTTTTGTAGCCTGATGGCGGCTAATTAGGGCTCTTTAAACATTGTGTATTGTGCATGATGCATGGTGCATGTGTCGTGGTGCGTGGTGCATGGCGTATCCTGCGTGGTTCATGGCGAATGGTGCATGCATGGCACATGGTGCATCACGCGTCATGTCGTGGTTTGGTTTGTCATGGTGTCTTGAGCAGGTAAAGCAGCAGGGATCGACAAGAAGTTGTCAAGAAGCGTGGAGCAAGAGGTGCGTCTGGAAACGCGCTCACTTGGGGTAGGAAGAGCTTGAATGTGTTTGAGACAATGGGAAAGACTGGAAAAGGCCAAGTGCAAGAGGTCGAGTGTGGGGGGGAAGCGAGGGGGGGTAGGGAGGTTAAGAATACTGTTAAGGAAGGTTACCAGCTCAACTGCATATTCGTCTCTTTGCTTCGCACGCTAATTTTTCTCTCATCGTTTCCATGCATCTTGTTTCTGCCTGCCATCGTTGCTTTGCATAAGAGCAGGTGGTTGATGCTCTCGCTGCTTCGCCCATGGAGCTAGCAGCGTCGCCTGTTGGCCCTCTCTCCACCTCTCAAAGGTGCTGTACCATACCCTGCCACTCTCCCCTGCCTCACTTCGCGCCTCTCACTGCCTACTCGCGCTCTCACTGCCTACTCGCGCTCTCACCTCCTTCCTGCGTCCTTGGTCGTATGATGTAATCATCTGCTTTCTGTGCGCCAGTGCCTGCCTGTGAACATACTCTTTTGCTGTTCTGCATTTGCTTTTTGCGTACCTTCTTTCCCTGCATCCCTTTCCTCCTCCCCCTCCCTTTATTTCTCCACCACCGGATCGCTTCCCCCCCTCCCTCTCCCTCCCTCCGTGACCCCACCCATCGGGGGTATCAGTCGCAAGACCCTCGTGTACCTCATCCTCACACTCAACCACGTTTACCCTGACTACGACTTCAGGTAGCGTACTCTCCCTCCCTCTCTCACCCCCTCTCTTGCTCCCTCTATCACTCCCTCTCTCACTCCCTCTCTCCCTCCTCTCTCCCTCCCCTTCTCCCTCCTTCTCTCGCTCCGTCTCTTTCTCCTCTCTCCAACCTTCTCCCCGTCTATCTTGCTTCCTCTCCTATCCACGCGTCGCATCAATCCGCGACTTTCTCTTTCTACCTTCCCCATTGTCGGCATCTCACATACTCCCTCCCTCCTATTCAGCCCCTTCTTATACCTATCCCCACTCCCACTCCATCCCCTTCCCCCCTTTCCCCCTCTCTTCGCTGCCTTCCTTGCTCGCTTGTCTCCCTCTCACATCCCCCCGCTCTGTCCTTCCCCTGCAAGTGTCCTCATCAGTCAGACTTTGGGAACCGGCACCTTTGTCCCCGCTGCTCCCTCTCTCTCCCTCCCTCTCTCTCTCCCTCCCTCTCCCTCTCCCTCCCTCTCTCTCGCTCTCCTTCTCCCTTCCTCTCCCTCTCCCTCTCTCGCCCTCCCTCTCCCTTCCTCTCGTTCCCTCCTCTCCCTCTCCCGCTCGCCACCATGCATACAGCACGCTGCGTTCGCATCACTTCAGCAAGGAGAGCGGCCCAGGGGCAGTCAAGGACCCCATAGACCAGCTGCTGCGCGAAGCAGCCAAGGTACCTGCCTCTGCTTCCTGCCCGCTTATGCCTCCCCGCGCCTTTTCGTCCCCCCTCTGCCCTGTTGTCCCCCCCGGAACTGTCTGCTCACTTGTTTCCCCGTCCTGTCTGGTTATGTTTCCTGGACGGTTGTGCTCGGCCCTGGCCAACTGTTCCCCCCTGGTTGATTCGGTTGTGTCTTTCCTGGTTTATCCGGTTGTGCCTTTCTTGGCCAGTTGTGTTACCAGCTGGCCGGTTGTGTTACCAGCTGGCCGATTGTCTCTCACGTAGGCCAGAAGTGTTATGTGATCCCAAGCTCAGAGCCAATCTGCAGGAGGTGCAGTGTGCAGGGTGGACGAAGAGGGCAGCCCACCTAAGTGGTTTCTAGTTGAGGGTCCAGAGGACTACTGGATGGAGGCTGGGTTTTTGGGGAGTGAGATTGGGGTTGGATGCGGTGGGGATGGAGTTGGGAGAGGGTAGAAGAGGACAGTGTAGGGAATGATGTTGCTGCATGGGCTGGGCAGTGCATGTTGAAAGCGTGCAATTCGTTGTGGTACGGTGCGGTGTGGTGTGGTGTGGTGTGGTGTGGTGCAGCGTGTTGTGATGTGATGCGATGTGAGAGCCGGTAGCTCAGTGGCAAGAGATCCGGTGCATTCACTGGAGGGTCCCGGGTTCAATCCCCGGCCGGTTCATTTCCATCCTGGCATCCTCATGCGTCGCTCATTCTTTCCGCGTACCCTAAGAGCCTTGAACCTCTTATTTTTCTCATAATCCATCAATCATAAGCTGTTTGCCTCCACCTCTTCGTGCCAGTCCCATTCCTGCATCCGGTTCCCAGAGAAAGGGGTTGGGTGGGCTGGGATGGGGGGAGAAGGCCAAGGGTGTGTGTGTGTGTGTGTGTGTGTGTGTGTGTCGCTTTCAACCTTCACGAGCACACAGTTGTGAGTGGAAAGGCTTGGAGAGTGTGAAGTATGTTCTATTGAGAGTCTTCTTGTTTCACCGAGGCGGTTGATGTCTGCGAGCCGATTTCTGAGGTCGTTTTAAGAGCTGAAGGCACTAGTTTCCAAACGGGCCATGGAATGATGGATGATGGGAGGTAAAACTGCGCCATTTAAGCTGTTGTGCTTCTCAGTCACCGATATCAAAGCTGTAGCTCTGTGGTATGCTGCACACCCTGACCCTGTGGGGCTCTGTAGTTCTACAATGGTTGCGCCTGCCTTGCCTGCCTGCCCGGCTGCCCGCCTACCTGCTGTGCTTTCAGTGCAGGCTTCATGTCTTTTTACGCTGCCGTTTTGTTCTCATTGTGTTTTAGATACTTCCTCGCCTTCTCTCTGTCACCCCTTCTCACTCTCACTTCCTTATGTTGCTCTTTCTCCCTTGTGCATCACAAGCATGTGCGTCCACACACGTGTATGTAAATTTTTACACACTTTCCTCTCCAGTATCTGCTGCTCCGCTCCCCCTCCCGCCTCCTTTCTGTTGATTTCTTCATCGCCTCATCCCCTCATTACCTCGTGACCTCATCCCCGCTTTCTCCAACCCTCTCACCCATCCCACCTTTTCACCCAACCATCCACACCATAACACACATACACCACTCCCATCAACTTCCCCGCAATGTCACAAACGCGTGGTGTAACATGCCGTGGTGTGTTGGTGCACAGCTGTGGGAGGAGGAGATGGGCAGCGACGTGGCCTTTGCTGACGCCCTCTGGTCCTCAATAGACGATGTGAGCCCCCACACTGTCTGTCTAGTGCACTTCTCTCCCTCCTCACCATTTCACAGAGGTTTCTCTGCCGCCCCTGCTGTTGCGCTGCTGCTTCTGTGACTAAATGCCACTAATGCCGTGTCGTGGTATCTGCCTGCATGTGCATGTGCGTGTGCATGTGCATATGCATGTGCATTTGCGTGTGCGTGCGCGTGTGCATGCGCGGTATCATGTGCACCCCCCACTGCAGGTGATACAGCTGAGCGAGTGCGATGTGTACAGTTACCAACCAGACGTTGACACTGACATATTCACTGACAGCAACAGCATGTCAGTCTACACAACCCTTCCTTTCACAAATGTTTGCCACACCATCCCTGCTTTCCCTGCTGCCCCTTCCTCCCCCCCCCTCTCTTTCTCGCCCTCCATTTTCTCCAGTTTTCCTTTCTCTCGCGCCCTCTCTCGTCTTTCCTCTGCCCATACACTCAGCCTGGCCTTTTTTCTCTCGTCACAAATTGTTGCTTTTGTCGCTTTTCTCCTCTTCCCACCCCGTTGTCGCCTGTGTTTTTCACTGCCCTTGTGCGCCCTGCAGATGGTCCTTCAACTACTTCTTCTACAACCGCAAGCTGAAGCGAGTGCTATACTTCACCTGTCGCTGTCGCAGGTACGCCTGTGCATCCTGCAGCAGATGGTCCCCGTTGGGACCTGCTTAGATCCGCTTAAGTCTGCGTGAATCTTCTTGGATTGGATCTACCTGGATTTGCTTGTCTGTGCTTAGATTGCCCCTGGTTCTGCCATTGCATCATGCCCGTTATCCCTCCCTTGACTGTAGTGCCGCTGCTCCTGCCTTTCCCTTGTTCCCCCCCAACGCACATGTACGGGGCCATGCCATGCCATGTCCCACATGTGCCCTAGCAGCAAGGTGGGAGCAGAGGACTCATCATCTGAGGAAGGTGACAGCGTTGAGGACTATGCTGACATGGCAGCTGACATGGACCTCTAAAGTCCTTGCCACTTGCTGTGTCACATCACATGTCGTGCCGTTTGCCGTCTCACTTGCGGTGATGCTATCACTGTGAGGAGCTTCACTATGCCGCCTTCGCTGCTGCTACTACTGCCTGCTGCTGCTACGACTGCCGCTGCTGCCACTACTGCCGCTGCTGCTACCACTGCCGCTGCTGCTACTACTGCCGCTACTGCTGCTACTGCCACTGCTGCTGTTGCTGTTACATTGTCACTATGCTTGCTGCACAACTGTATGGAGCATGGATGCATGTGGCCCTCCATCAAACAGTCTGCAGCACACACACCAAGACTTCGTGGTGCTGTCCAGCATCAGGGCTGTGATGGAAAGGGGTGTGCTCCTTCTGAGTCCTAAAAAGGGTTGTGAGTGTGACCATGCAATGTGATGCAATGAGACCATTAGAAGGAGCATTTGACCAGTGGCTAGGTCAATATGTGATGCATTGTGCATGCAGCATGGCCTTGGTAGTGCTGCTGTTCTCGTGCTGTTGGTGAACCCGTGTGCCACTGCGAACAACTCTTCTCACCGAGTGTATAGGTAGTATACATGTCTCTGCTGCATTACCGTTGTTATGAGTGGTTTCTTATGTAGTTCACCTGGTACAGGAGATGCTCGTACACCAGAACATTTCAATCCATTTCAGACTATTCCGTGCCACATACTATCAGATGTTGCTGCATCCTAGCAGCGGTGTTGATTCCACAACTCAGATTTCAAGCAGGCAGACAGGACAATATGTCCATAGGGTACCTGTCAGTGGTCATGACTAGTGAGCAGAGCACTGAGGCTAACAGCACTAATGGCTAGTAAGCTCTAATCTTTTCTGCAAAACTACCACTACCTACACGTAATGGAATGGTCAGCTACCTATCGGAGACCTGTTGCTGCTGCATCTGCCACTGTTGGCACTACTGCACATGCACGTTTGAGTATGTGTGCAGAGTTTGCACATGTATTCCATTATCCATGTACACCACTACTCCCTGTACTCCGATCATGCAAACTGTCCCGGCCCAGGGCCCCAGGCTCCTCTAACAGCAACAATGACGTATCCCAGCAGTCGCAGCAGCGCAGCAGCGAGTGCGAGAGCAGCAGCAGCAGCCTGCCATGACCCCACCACACTCCACTGCATGGCTGATGTGAACGCACACCGCACCGGCAACCACACTCCCGTGAACCTGCAGCACAAGAGGGAGAAGGAAAGGAAAGGAGGGAGGGAGAGGGGGAACAGTGAACAAGGGCTGGGCAGACCAGAGAGAGTGAACCAGGGAGTGTGGGCAAGGGATGGGTGTGATGATAGTGAGGGAGCGTGGTGGGAAGGCGTGGAAGGAGCAGTGCTAAAAAAACACCACAGAATCTCAAACAAGGCCATCCATCTACCCTCTTCCCCCACCCATCCATCCACCCTCTTCCCCCACTCAACAACCATGCATTCATCCATGCACTCACTGGTTGCTGACGGCCCCTGCCAGCAGCCCCTTGACCGCCCACTGCAGGAAGCTGAGCCACTGCAACCACGCCCTCACACCCCCGCTGCACACTGCCGGATTTTGAGGCACCTCAAAACTCCAAGCAATCCCATCCATCCACCCACCCAGTCATCCCTCCCTCTTCCACTCACTGGTTGCTGACGGCCCCTGCCAGCAGCCCCTTGACAGCCCACTGTAGGAAGCTGAGCCACTGCAGCCACGCCCTCACACCCCCGCTGCGCGCTGCTGGCGCCACCGGCACCAGCGTTGCAAAGTACGCTGCTAGGCACAGCACCAGGGCGGCCTGGGTACGGGGATGGGCAGGTCGCGGAGCAAGTAAGGTGCAGGGGAAGGGAGCAGTTAGGGGAAGCCAGCAAGGCGACGAGGAAAGGGATGTGAACCGAGGGTTATTTGGGCTATGCGTAAGAACCTATTTCCTAGTTATTTGCCTACGAGGATTACCTTCCCTCTATCTGTGTTGCATTCGACACAGCAGTGAGTGAGCAGCATAGCAACAAGTTGGGCCGCAAGCAACTCACAGCTGGAAAATGAGGTAGGCTAGATGAGCTAGATGCGCTATGCAACAAGCAGGGCAGACGGACGAGAGACGAGGGACAAGGGGCGAGGTACGAGGGACGAGGTACGAGGCCTTACCATTGCTGCTCTGCGGCGGGAGAGGAAGCTGAGAAGAAACGTGTGCAGGCCCGAGGAGCAGAGCACGAGACAGAGGGCCACCGCAAGCGAGGGGCCAAAGGAGGAGAGAATGGCGGAGAAGGGGAAGAAGAGGAGGAGCGGGGGGAGGAGCAGCAGCGGGAGGAGGGCGAGGAGGAGCGTGGAGAGGAGATCAGCGGCGAGGAAGGGGAGGATGGGGGGGATGTTGAGAGAGGAGGCGATGGGTGCGATGCTGGTGATGGCGAGGAGAGGCGAGGCGAGAGGCACGAGCACGGAGGAGAGCACTGCAGGGGGGGACGGGGTGGGGGGTGTGGGGAGAATGATGGGGATGAAGGGCGTGAGACTAATTAAGGGGGGAGGGGAACGAGGGAATGGGGACAAATTGGTATGGGGGATGGCAGACGAGAGTGAACAAGGGAGACAGGAGGTGTGGTGTATGTAAGAGGGGTTGGAGCAGGCACGAGGAGAGGGAACGAGGAGCAGCAGTGCACATGCAGCAACAGCAACAGCAACAGCAGCAGAAGCAGCTGCAGCTGCAGCAGCAGCAGCAGCAGCAGCAGCAGCAGCAGCAGCAGCAGCAGCAGCAGCAGCAGCAGCAGCAGCAGCAGCAGCAGCAGCAGCAGCAGCAGCAGCAGCAGCAGCAGCAGCAGCAGCAGCAGCAGCAGCAGCAGCAGCAGCAGCAGCAGCAGCAGCAGCAGCAGCAGCAGCAGCAGCAGCAGCAGCAGCAGCAGCAGCCGCTACAGGCTAGAGCGTGGTGCGCGCAAGTGACAAGAGAGCAGCGTACCGAGAACAAGGCAGAAGTCCGCCGTGGGTTGGAGGAGCGCGGAGGGCGAGGGGAGCGAGGTGAGCAGCAGCGACCAGAGCGCAGCAAGGGCGAGCACGGCAGTGAGCGAGAGGAGAAGAGCTGAGAGGATGAAGGGCGCTGCACGGGAGTACTCCCTCCCACTCCTGATGGGTGGGATGGTGGGGACGAGGGGGACGGGGGGAGCAGGAGGAGCAGGGGGGGCAGGGGGAGCGGGGGGAGCGGGGGGATCGGTTTTCTTAGTAGACTCAGAAGATGTAGGGCGCTGCACGGGAGTACTCCCTAACACTCCTGATGAGTGGGACGGTGGGGACGGAGGGATTGGTGGGGATGGTGGGGAGGGGATGGTGGGGGTTAAGTGAGGAGGCACGGGGAATGAGCTGGAGAGCTGCGGTTATGAAGAGAGGAGAGCAGAGCCACTTCTGGATGTGAGACGTCTCAAAACGAGCGGAGGGCGGAGCTACTTCTGAGTCGGCACGAATGCACCCACTCCTCAAACCCTCTCCCTCAAACACACGCACGTAACTTTCCACACTCCTCACCCTCATCCCCTCCCCCCTCAACATGCCCAGGACCGCCCCAAACTAAGTGAGAAGACGCCTCAAGAACCATCTCATCCCCTCCGTCTCACCTGCCCAAAACCGCCCAGAACTGCCGGCCGGACCCCCGCCTCGTTCGATCCGACAGATCCTTCACCCGTCGCCATGACAGCAGCGCCCTCGCTCTCTCCCTCTGCACCACCGCCTGCCAACGCACCTCCTCCAACCCCTCCCTCACCACCTCCCCCACCACCATCCCCACAATCCCCAGCATCCCTCGCGGTCCACCCCACCTCCCCACTCCTTCTTCCTTCCCCCCCGCGCCATCCTTCCCGTCCCTGCCTTGCCCCTTTAGCTCATCCGCCTTATCCTTTGCACTAGCGTTGTTATGATTGTTATTGCTATCTAGAAAGAATTCCAAGGGAATGCCACCCAGAAGGTTGGTTAGTCCTGTGGCGGAGCGAGAGCGAGTGTGCGAGTGTGCGCGGGCGGAGCGAGAGGATGTGCGTGAGGGGGTGTAAGAGGGTGCCTGCGACGGTGCCTGCGAGGGTGCCTGCGAGGGAGTGCGAGAGGTTGTGCGAGAGATCGTGCGGGAGTGAGTGTGTGAGGAGGACCAAGCGCGAGACTGAGTGTGGGAGTAACTACTTTCTCTACATTCCTCCTCTTCAATGCTCCCTGACCTCCCCACACTGCCCACTCCCTCCCCCTCATACCCCCCTCCTCCTGCTCCTCCTCCTCCTCCTCTCTCATCTCCTTCACAGCAACTCCCATCACCACAATCACCAGGTACAGACACACCTACTGCCCCTACCTCCATCCTCTCCTCCTCGTCCCCCATCTCCCCCTCCTGCTGCTGTTGCTGCAAGGCGTTCTGTCCACACGGCAGCCCATAGCACCGCACAGACACCGGGTCATCAGAACCAGATGACAGCGCACGTGGAAATGCCACCACAGCACCTCCTCCCTCTCTCTCCCTTTCCGCCAACTCTCCCCGCTCCCCGCCTTCCATAACTCCCCCTCGTCCCCCCTCCCCCTCTCCTCTCTCTCTCTCCCCTTCTGAGAGTCCCTGTCCCTCCCCTCCTCTCCACCCTTCCACCATCTCCACCTCCCCTCCTCCCTCCTCGTCTCTCGCACCCCCCCACTTCTCCTCACTCTCCCCCGCACCTCCCCCACTAGCTCTCTCAAACGACTGGTGGACACTAGACAGCCGCCCTTCACTCTCCCCCCCGAACCCGCCTCCCCTTTGCCCCCCCACTCTCGCCCCCCCCAGCCCATTCACCAGCAGCAGCGGCGCACTCTTCAGCGCCCTCTTCCCCCCCAACCCACCCCTCCCTCCGCCTCCTCCCCCTCCTTGCCCGAACCCGCCCCCTCCCCCTGCAGCCACAGCCACTGCCACCGTCGCAGCCCCCCTCTGGTCCCTCTCCTTCTCCTCCCTCTCCGCCCAGTATGGATCATCAGACCCTCGTGTGTACACACTTCTTCCTGCTGACAGCAGCC